AGAAGAAAGGGAGGTTGAAGAAGCAATTGGCGTCCAGGCTGAGGACGGAGTTGAGGTGGAAGAGGCTTGCACCGGCCATGAGTTACTTGTGATATCCCCACCAAACTTCGAGGAATTGCTCAGCAAGGACCCATTTGCAGTGTCTCTTTGCCAGACCAAGGCCACATCGACATCGGTCCCTCTTGGTGGACGCGATGGTGGTCAATCGATGTTGTCATATCTGGTTTGGGGCAATGAGACGAGAGAAGAGAAGAAGAGGTCTCGAGGGTGGAGACTTCATCTGCATCAAGTGCACGAGCCTTCATCACCTGCCGCACCACATGCTCGTGACTTGAGACTCCACCTCATCGACGAGAACCTCAACTTCAAGGAGGTTTTGGGGTGGACCGAAACTTAGGAGCCATCGTCCGGCTCACGACGTGAAAGAAGCGCTTGTTGGGAGGCAACCCAACCATTCGGTTTGCATTTCTTTCCCTATTACTCTTCGGTTGAGTCAGTTTTGTTCTTTGATTTTAGAGTCAATAACTCAACCTTTGTGAGATTTTGTGTGGTGTTTGTGTTCTGATTACTCTCTCCTCCTGGAATGCACCGCCTGCCCCGTCCATCATCATTCACCCTTGATCTGGTAACTTCGTTCTACCCTCCTTATCTTTCCTCCATTGAGGACAATGTCGTGCTTAAGTGTGGGGGGGTGTTCGATTATGTATGTGGGTGAATGTTTGGCTGTTTGTGTGCTTGGAGCCTAGTCCACTGTCCAAAATTTTAAATTTGAGGGCTCCAAGTACGTGTTTCCTTGCAAATTGCCTACTAAGTATGCTTTGAATTGACAGACTCTATAGTAATGTGCAACCTAGGGAGGTAGTGTAGCACTATGGAGGATGTTGAAGTATAACATTTTTCCTATCTAGCTCTTTGCTGTGCCAGTTGATTTTGTGAATTAGTGGAGCTAGGACCGTTGAATTCATGTGGTAATGGTGACTCTATGTGGATTGTGTTTTGAACTCGTGTATCGAACAGGGTGCTCATATAGAAAATGGGAAGCAGTTGGTCCTCCATGTCGAAATCATTGAAATCTTAAACATGGGGTAAGCCCAACGTGTGTGGCACCGTTCATTGCACAAAATCGGGTTTTGGAAGAGATTTTAGTGATCCTTAGTGGGGTACTCCTACAAGGTGAAGCTAAGCTGTCTCTAGTACAAGTAAAATTTTCACCCGTTGAACGGTTTGCCTACTCGAGGATGTGTTTTTAAGGGCACGGATAGAGCTTCCGACCCCCCTTAATTTCATTGACCCTCCACACGAGTTGAGGAAAAGGAGTTAAAAGAAGTACTCTGGCGAGCGCCAGATGTACAGAAATTGCTCTTGCTCGACTAATAAGGGTCGACCGTGCAAAAGACTGCAGTTGGAACCCCCGCTAAGTGAATAAAAAAGGGAAAAAAAAAAGTAAGTAAAATGAAAGTGAAAAAGGGGTTCCAACGGTGAAATGAAATGAAAGAGCACCCCGGTACAACGAGTCCTTGGTTGTGAATGGTGTGAGTCCCTTTATCCATGAACTGACTGTCTTACTTCTACATTTTCTCATGATCCTGGCTTGAGTCTAGTGCTCGCATTGAGAGAGATAGGGAACGTCTTAGAAGACCAGTTGACCTCGTAAGCTGTTATATGATCTAGGAAATCCTCTACCGACGATCAGGGTTGTATGTTGCTATAGAGCTCTGGAGAGTTGCATTGGTTTGAGTTAGGTTTGCTTGGGGACAAGCAAACGGTTAAGTGTGGGGGGATTTGATGACTCGATATTTGCACATGTTTTCCCCTGTGTTTCTTGATCGTTTGAGCTTTAATTATCACATCTTTGGCCTATTTTATGCTAGGTTGTGTTCCTTTGTCATATTTCAGGTCCTAGCACATAAAGTGAAGCATAGGCGCAAAGTTCAAGTCAATCAGAGATCAATTGACGATTCGGGAGAAGAAACTCGGGTATGACCTGAAGAAGAATGGATTTCTACCTCACTTCATGAACAAAGAATCATGCAAGCTTGTTATGAAATGAAAGAGGACGAGACTACGAGCGTCTGGGATCAAACGGCGACTGATTCGGAGTCTGGACGAGGGAGAAACGAAGCATTGAACAGGCTCGGCAGTGAAAACACGGGCAGTAGGCCTTCAGAACACGGCCGTGTTCTGTGACCGTGTTTTTACTGCCGAGAGCTGATTTGAGTTTGGCCAACTCGAGCTGAAAACACGGGCGGGCTGAGGCAAAGCACGGCCGTGCCCTCGACCGTGCTTTGGCCACTGATGCCCTTTTTAAGCAGATTTCAGCCGAAACAGAGGGAGAGAGCTGGGTTTTGGATCCCAAACACCCAAGGGATGAACCAAAGAGAGAGAGGACGATTTGAGGGCATTCTTGGAGTGGAATTGGAGGATTTCTTCGCCTTGGAAGCTCGAGGAACAAGCCCGGACTTGAAGACTGATCATCTGAAGATTCTTACTGCAGTCTCTCTCTTCTCTATGGAGTAACTTCCCTTCACTTAGGTTTTGAGGAACCCTAGCTATGTTTGTTTGATTGGATGATTGTATGAGTACTCTGACTTGATAATCTTGAGTTCATATTCAATCTATGCATGTTTTCACGATTCAATTCTGCTTTAGTCGAGATTATTGATTCTGCTTTGATCCTATGAGAGCGAATACCTGATTAGGTCAATAGAGCACCATAGATTGATAGTAGTGGATTGATTGCTTTAGTCGAGGGTTGATTCATTGCTTTGTATCGATTGAGAACCTCATTCGATAGAGGGAGTCTAGTTCAGAACGCCTTGATCGATTGTTCTAGAGAAGGATACGTCCCTCTAGGCAATTGACTCAAGAGGGCCTTGTTCCTTTAGTCGAGACTCAAGGTCTAGTCAAGGATTCTCCGCATTGTGAATGAAGTGAAACAAGTTAGAAATCATCGATCGTTAATCTGGCTAGTGGCTAGGGGGAATCATACCTAAGTGAGTTCCCAACCTGTAATTAAATTAACCTTAACTGTAGTTTGCTAGAGTAGTTTTAGTTCTTCTATCTTAATCTGGTTTGCTAGATAATGAACTGAAGCTGAGTAATAGTAACTCTAGAGACCCGTGGATTCGATATTTATTACTTGAGCCACTATACTGCAGTCCCTTTCATTGGTTACACTTGGCCATTGTTAGGAGTTGTGTCATAGCGAGTCAGCTGCGGCCACACTCCCGCTCGATATGAGCTCGGAGCATGCCCTGTTCGGACTCAAGGCGACCCATGCGGGAGTCAAGCTGAGTTAGGAGCTTATGGTTCTGGAGATAGTGTTGTTGGAACTAGTCAGTGAAGAACTCCATCGACGGAACAGAAGGACCAGAGGAGGACTCGCCTCACTCAGGTCTCCATCGTGGAGGAAGATCCCTTGGCGGGGACAGCCGAGGGTCCATCTCATTGGCAGCCATAGCTTTACCATCATAATCATCATCATTCTCCTCCGTGTCCTTGTCTTTCTCATTATAGTCTTCATCATCCTCGTCATCCTCATCAGCATTAGGGGGAAGGGAGACACCGTCAACCCACTCCCTACCATCAACAATAGTCAACAAAAAGGCGCTACGAAGGACGTCCCTACCGACGAGGTGCGAGTCGTGGCAGACAGTGGTGTCGATTAGGCCTCGTAGATCCACTACAAAGTGGCAAGACAAAATAGTTATCAGGGGACCACAGAAGAGGTGGGTGGTCTTCTCGTGGCACTTAAGAAATGTCCCCGCCAGAAGAGAACCCACATGAAGCTTGTGGCCCCCATCCCTCATGGTGTACATGACATAGAGCATACGCTCTGTGAGCTTGTGTGAATCGGTGGCGTTGGGGATGACCCACCCACCATCTGCTATCACCCACTACGATACATATGGGTGGGTATGGGTCACTTTTTCGTCATCCACCATAACAATGGTTGGGTGGATTTTGCCCAAAACCCCACACAATCCACCCATTGTCCATCCCTAATAATTCGTGAACAAAATAATCGATAAAAAAGTTGTCTGCTTGTCCTACCAATAGATATCACAGAATCAAACTCTGCAATTAGCATATGACAATGGGTGATCATCAACAGACTGAATCGGGTAAAAAGCTACCTAGGAATGGGTTTGTAGATAAAATTTGGTAATGGTCGACATGACATGAGCTTCCGAGGGCCAGAATGAGGAAATGATAAGCCACACTGCACAAGGAGAATAGAAAAGAGAACCAAACCAATGGGAACAAAAAAAACGTTTCTTATATTTTAATTTTTGGTATGAACGTGCAGTAGAATTATGATAAGGAACAGTGGAACACCCATTAAAAGGTTGGTGGAATGGAAGGAAAGAGGGTAGTGGGGGAGGTTGTTGGTGAAGGAAGCTCACCAAACTTGACAAAAATGTCTTTAACCACTAACACAACTAATATTAATATTTCGTATCACTCGACGGAGATGGACAACCTTATTATTCCTCCTGCTGGCTTCTTCTATCATTTCTCTTCTTTTACTAATATACGTGATGGATGGTTCGTCACAACATATTTCCATATATATCTCTACTTTATTAATAAGGAGAGATATATACGGCAGTAACTGGCAAACAATTTTGTATCCTTTTCCCTGAGATTATGTTCATAAGATTCGTAATCATCAAATGGTACATTAAGCTTACTGCACGCTTTATGATGAGCATTTTTTCGTAAATAAATTGCACGTCTCGGCCAGATCGCAAACTGCAAGGCAAAATCTCTCTATATTTCAATGATCGATTCCTCGCAACTAGAGTTATTCACAGCTTGGGGGTATAATGAGAATTTCCATGATTCATTGTCATGGATAGTTAAGAATAATACAATGTTTTCGAGTTATTCGAATAATACAGAGCAGAGCAGAGCAGGCAGGACAATGAAAGGGGGGGAAAAGGGAAACACAAAGGGTGAAATGAAGTAATAATTCCCGGGCCGGGAAAGATGCAGGATTAGGGGATCCGACGATAGAGAGTGATCCCATCGCCAACGGGGAGCATGCAGATCTCGATCCTAGGGTCAGCAGCGAGGGCCTTGTTGAGCTCCATGACGAAGTTGCGGTAGTACCTGACGTACTTCCTCATGGGAGCATCAGCCGGCTGGGCCACAGATCCGTTCCACAGGGTGTTGTTGTAGCCGATCACCCCACCCACCTTCACCAGGTCGATCAGCCTCTTGTGGTAGTTGATGTAGTTGTCCTTGTCCGCGTCCACGAAGATGAAGTCGTAGCTCCCATGGTTCGCTTTCTGCACATACATAACACACACTGACACACAATGTTCAAATTTCGAATCGAGATGTGATATCCTTCCGTCTTGAAGATAATTGAAAACAGAGTTGCCCCTGATTCGCACAAGTTCATGTGAAAGCGATCCCGGGACTTGAGGCCAAGCTGGCAATGGTTTCCACAAAACCAAAAGGGTTTCTAACTGGGGGGAAAGGAAATTAACTTACGTCTTCAAGCATCTGGTCAAGAACGGGGAGGGCAGGCCTTCTCTGAACTCGATCTTGTGAGCAACGTCGGCTTTCTCGATCACGGGCAGCCCCAGCTCGTAGTTCTCCCTGTTGATATCCATCGCCAAGATCTGCGCAGCAGTGATGCCAAACAACCAGTCATTCATCACCCACTAGAAAATTTTCATTGCAAAATAGGGATCGCCCGGCCGGGGAAAGAATCGAATCGAATCACAATCAGGACCTTGCCGTCGTCGGGAAGGGCGAGGGCGGTGGTGAGGAGGGAGTATCCGGTGTAGACGCCGATCTCCATGGTGTTCTTGGCATTGATCAGCTTCAACAGCATGCTCAAGAATTGGCCTTCGTCGGCGAACGTCGTCATCAGATTCCATGGATGTTGGCGGTGATGTCCCTCTGCTCCTTCATGGCTTCTGGCTCTCTAGGGTAAACACTCGTCTCCAGAATGTACTGTCATAGCGGAAGGGAGACAAAGAAACACACCAATCCAATCGATGAGTGTTATTATTATTTAAATTTGAAATCATCGGAAAGGAATTAGCTAGAACTAGGATTTTTGTTTTTTGGAATTAGGGGTAACTAACCTGGTAAAGGGCGTCGCTCTGGAGGAGACTCTTGTGGCCGACTTCTGAGTGCCGACTGATGGTGCTGCTCTACTTCTCTTCCGCCATTGGTTTGGGGATTTTGTTTTCCCGTGTGATTGGATGGAACTTTTCGGGGAGGAATTGGAATGACCAAGAAGTGAGATGAGAGGCTGTTTGGAAAGTTTTGGGAAAGTAATCGACCCATATATAATAGAGGGAGGGAGGGGACTTTTTGAACCGGTGGGGGGTTGGACCAGGATGATGTCTAGTCGGGAGTTGGTGAAGCCAATTGGTTCGGTGGGCGGTGTGTTGGACTGTTGGTTATTTGGATATTCGGGCTTTAAGGGATGCGGGACCCACGGGGTTAGGTTTTTCTCCTTTTGCTGACTTTCAAAAGCGACGCCTACGTCAAATAAAAATATAAAATAAACTTAAATAAAATAGGGAAATTTAAAAGATTACTTCTGTTAAAAAATAAATATATAAGCCACTTTGTAGTTGCCAAGTCCACAAAGAATTGATCATACTAAATACTAATAATCTTGGGGAGCTTTAGTTTAGAGAACTGATTATTCTGTTAATTCCATATATTAACACTAATTGTCTGAAGAACATATAACTAATATCTTAAGTGGGTGGGGTTGTTGAATCTGTAATCCGGATCCATAAGCTGAATTAGCAAGCTATTTTAATTATCCTAGATGGACGGGACTTCATTTGTTTATTTGGAAATGGTTGTTGGATTGCGTTTCCTTGTTATTTCGTACAAGTAGTCAGACCAAACTTGGGCTTTTATACTCTTTCGTATGACCTCTACTTTTTTTTTTGGGGTAGAAGACAGACATAATGCATCCTAGATCATATCATTAACATCACAACACATGAAAACACCTATGTTGTTGTGTAAAAGCCAATAACACAAGTTCGGGTCGCTCACATCGAATAGATGTGTGCCAAAAGAAAGGAAGTGTCTCTTAGAAGCTAAGTAATCAGCTACAAAATTACCCTCCCGAAAGACATGGTTAATTTCCACAACCCATTCCCTAGCAAGAATGCTCTCAAAGAGCTTAGCAATGTGACCATGACAATGATCACTATTACCTCTAGTTCTAATGATAGCTAAAGCAGTGGTGGAATCAATATTGAGTTCCACTCTTCTGAAACCAAGCTGTCATGCCATTTCCAACCCTTCTGGAGCCCCTTTCAGTTCAGCTCGAGTGATAGTGCACCTCCCAAGATTGCAGGAAAACGCTCGCAAACATCGTCCCAGGTAGTCTCGCACAAACCCCCTGCAGCAGCATGACCAGAAGGTTGGGCAACAGACCCATCAGATTGTACCTGAACCCAACCTTCTTTTGGAGGTTTCCAGGAAATCTCGAGTCTGGTTTTTGTCATATTGCCAGGTGCAAGACACTTTTCAGAGCTGGAATGAGCTTGATTGTTGAGGTTGATCCAGGCAAAGCAGTTAAAACCGGGATTTTACGTAAAATCGAAAACTGGGGTAAAATCGGAATTGTAAAATCGAATCGTAGGATTTTAAGTACCATATAGAAATTAACATATATTAATGGGTTAATACCTTAGTTTGGCCCGAACTATACACATACTTTCTACTTTGGCCCGAATTATTGAATATTGCTACTATGGCCTGAACTATGTAGCAAACTTCCTCATTTGGCCGGGAGGCGCGTTTGACCGTCAAAACAGACGGTCAACCAAGTTGACCGTTAGTCAATATACACATCAGCTGCCACGTATACATTAAAAATTATATTTTTTTTTACAAAAAATAAATTAATAACTCTAAAAAAAAGGAACGGAAAATAAAAGAAAAAAAAAACAAAATTAAAAAAAACCCACAGCCACCCATCCCTATCTTCCCGCATCGATTCTTATCAGGAATTACCTCCCCCCTTTCAGACCCATCGCTGATTCGCCGGACTCCGTCAATGGCGTTCCGACGGCGGCATCACCCTCCTCGGCTCCTGCCACGGGCTGGTCTGCCTCGGCTACACGGGCACCAACCGGGTCTACCTGCTCAACCCGGCGACCCGAAAGCACCACTCCACCCTGCAGGCTCCCCTGCCCCAAGGGTTCATGGCCCGATTCCACGAACCCGGCGGCCAGGGGACGGCGTGGTGCAGCCATTCGCGTACGGATTCGGGTACGATCCGGGGATTAAGGATTACAAGCTCGCCAGGGTGTACATCACGGGGGACGAGTCCCACGCGAGGTGTAAATCGGTGGTGTTCTGCTTCGGCATTTCGTCGAACACCTTGCGGGCAGCAGAGATACCCTTTTGCGGGATGATTGAGCAGAGGTCAGGGGTTTCGGTAGGCAATTCCTTACATTGGCCGTTCCGCAGGTACGGTGAGAATTCGATCATTGTCGCATACCATCTCGAGGCGAATCAGTGGCGGGGAATTCCCTTGCCTCGCTCGGGTTTTGGTCACGAGGTCGCCTTGAACGTCGTGGGATTGAGGAATCGCTTGTGCGTGTGCAATCGCGCGGCGAATCGTGATGATGAGCTGGGGAAGAAGGTTGTTCATGTCTGGATGATGAGGAGAGATCAGTACGGTGTGGAGGCGGCGTGGAGCAAGCTGTTCTCGATTCGGGAATCGGGGTATCTGGATTTGTCGTCGTTGCCGGTGGCTCTGGATCTGTCCGTCAATGGCGATGAAGTTCTGCTGTATTTGGATGGGGGAATGCTCGTTTGGTATGATACAAAGAAGGAGAGGCCTGGTCAGGTGGTGTATTTGGATGGCGGAATCAGCGACGGCGGCGTCTTTCACCGACCGGCCGCCGCTGCATTTGCCGGAGAATCTTCGAGAATCGCCGAAAATTCGTCGGGGAAGGGAGTTGGGGGTAGACGATGGCTCTGAAAGGGGGGAGGTAATTCCCGATAAGAATCGATGCGGGAAGATAGGGATGGGTGGCTGTGGGTTTTTTTTAATTTTTTTTTCTTTTATTTTCCGTTCCTTTTTTTTAGAGTTATTAATTTATTTTTTATTTTTTGTAAAAAAAAATATAATTTTTAATGTATACGTGGCAGCTGATGTGTATATTGACTAACGGTCAACTTGGTTGACCGTCTGTTTTGACGGTCAAACGCGCCTCCAGGCCAAATGAGGAAGTTTGCTACATAGTTCAGGCCATAGTAGCAATATTCAATAATTCGGGCCAAAGTAGAAAGTATGTGTATAGTTCGGGCCAAACTAAGGTATTAACCCTATATTAATATTAATAAGGTAAATAATTAATAACACAAAGACTTATAACATTTAAAGTGATAATTTTCAATATTAATGTTCCAAAATCATCATTTTAATTGTTATTTAATGCATAACTCAAAATAATCTATGAGGAAGGGATAGAGCTCATGGGGTTTGGCTCTTGTTTTTCATGCTGTGTCTAGGTAGTTTAACTCAAAGTAGTATTCCGACATCGTCTACTAAGCATGATTTAAAACTAAGAATAAGTGAACTCTAATAAGATAATTAATGTCATTGGTTTGGTACAAATATATTCATTAATCAAATAATTTGTTAATAATGATGTTAATTCTTACGTGCTTACAATATTATGACAATTGTTTTACCGATGAGTTAAACAAGAAGAAGGGAAAGGGGTTGGCCGAACCCTAATTAGTTTTTTTTTTCTTTTCAAATGTTCTTTTAATAGGAAACATATATGTGAAGATCCCCGTCATTGCCCTTTCTACCGAAACAGTTCTGCTTCTTTTGAATTGGCTCAAGCTCCCTATTTTGTTCACATAGGATCAAAATCCCGATTTTGGTACGATTTTTATCCCGATTTTGAACGATTTTAAGGTCCACCGATTTTACAGTAAAATAAGAATCGGAATCCCTAAGTAAAATCCTACGATTTTACGATCAAAATCCCGATTTTGACTGCATTGGATCCAAGCAATCACCCGCTGGATTAGGCCATCTTCCGAATAAGTCTTGTCCTCCATAACTTCTTCATTTCGTTGTTTCCACAAGTTCCATCATATTATCCCAAAATCAATCCCTGTCTCTTGGTCCATCATATTCTTGATCAGCTACGTTTGAAAGTCAATTTCATTGTCATTCACCTTGAGTTTGTCCTTGAAGTGCCTCCACATGCCTGCAGTTTTTCCACACTTTCTGAGGATATGCTCCGTTGTTTCTTCTGTAGATCTGCAGAACTTGCACATTCCATCCTCAGTTAGCTTTCGTTTCACTCTTTTCTTGTTGGTTAGCAGTCTGTTGTGGCTTGCCAGCCACATGAAGTGCTTGATGCGGCTCGGACCCTTCCACTTCCATGGATCTCTCCATACGTCGATTGGTGAGCTGTCCACCTCCCCTGCTACCAGAGAGTAGGCTGATTTGAGCTTGAATCTTCCATCCTTCTCAATGCCCCAGACAGTTCGATCCTCTCCCAGCTCAGAGTTTGGCGCATCAGTTCTTGCAATAAGCGAGATCATCTCATCAGGGAGGTACATTCTCATTCTGTTCCAATCCCACTCACCTGACTCATTGACCCAACTTGAGACTGAAGCACTCAGTTCCTCTTTAGTGAGCTCTTTCAAGGCGAAATCTTCCATGATCAGGCCATTTTCCACCCAAGGATGAGTCTAGAATCTAGTAGTCTCCCCGTTCCTGACACTCCATTGTGTGGCCTGTTTCATGAAAGGCAAGGCTTTGACAATTCCCTTCCATTAGGTGCGCATAATTTGTGATGTAATTGTAACAAGTCTTTCCATAAACCTATCACACAATGTTTATTTTGAAATAATCTCATTAAATAGTGTTCTTAACTTTAGAAAAATCAAATATATTATGCTAAAAATATCGTTTGGTATAAATGAATTCTATAAATTTTTAGGAATTTATTTTGAAATTAAATCTTTTTGTGTTTGCTATTCAAAAGAATTCATTTTCAATTTTGAATTTTGAATTCTACGGAATAGGAGCTAGTTATAGCAATTCCGCGGAATTGAGATGAAATTTGCAAATGAATTCCACAAGTTTTTTTTACTAATTATAATAGAATGACATAATTATCCCTATTTATTAAGTAAACTACTCCTAATATGAAGCCAATACACAAATTATGCGCACCTAACTCTCCTCTTCCCACAACTATATATATTATAGTTTATATGTTATATGTTATTATGATC